TTGAAACCATGCTGCCCAGATAGGTGGGTAAGTGAAACAGACTACTTCCTCAACATTTATCACCCCTCTCCCCCCCTCCCGCGTTCATCCTCATTCCTACTTCTCCTTCTTGTTGGTTGGGTGGTATCTTCATCACCTCTGTATGTATTCTCCACCTTCACATGAAGGAAGTCCCATCTGCCTTCGTCGCCCTACATCTTCTCTTCTACCAACTTGTTCGCTTCACCTGTACATCTTCCAGTTTGTGCAACATGAGGCGTTAGACATTGGACATAAATCATCATTGGTGAAATGTAGAGCTTCTAGAGTCTTTTCATCGGTCAAACAGTGTATGCTCATCTTCCCACAGCTGCTCACAGTTTCTTTCATGATCCACTCGAGTCGAGTCGAGTCGAGTCCAGTGTAGTCCATTCCATTCCAGCCAGTCCAGTCCAGTCCAGTTGACTACAATTGGGAAGATCATTGGTGATAGTAGGTTGCAAGCTTGTCTTACCTATCAACCTGTCTTCACTTTCAAGGCATTACTGAGCTTCCCATTATCAATCACTTCGCATTTAGCTTCATATAGCATATAGCTGCTGTTTAATGAGGTTGATAAATCTTTGTGGTACTTCGTAGTATTTAAGCAGCTGCCAAATCACTTTTCGGTCGACTCTGTCAAAGGTCTTTTCAATGTGGATGAAGTTGAGTTAGGGAGTTGATTGTCATTCTATGCTCTGTTCTATGATGATACATAGCGTAGTGTTGGAATTTGTTCTTCATATGATTTGTTCTTCCTGAAGCCAGTCAGCCTATTCTAGTTGTAATTTTTAATTATTCCATCTCAATTTTAAAGTGCTGATTTCTGTAAAACATGATCTTAATCAATATTGTAGTCAGTAAATAAGAACGTTTTGCGATAACTGGTGGTATTTCGCACCCTTCTTATTCTCATTGTTGTGACAAAACTATCAGTGCTACCAAAGTCTGTATTGATCTGTGAGGTACTGATGCCTTTTATGTGCATGAACAATAATGATTTAAATTACCAGTTGGTAAAACGTTTCCATTGAATGTTTACAAAATTAACCATTGAATTCATTATTGACAAATAGATTATTTCGGTTGACTAACTGGCATGTGGTGATGAGTAAAGCTGGACAAAAATATATGTTATGGTACGGCCTAATCATTGGTCAACAGGTTACTTGGTTGATATTCTACAGACTTAAACTTATGATTCAATAGCATATCAAACAGAAGCTTTTTTCACAGTCTGGTTATTAGCTGAGCATTGTAGCCCACTTAGCTGTCCATTGAACTGGTTATCTACACACTGCTTCTTGAGATACTAATACCCACCTGGTTTTCTTTCGACTCCACTTATATCTGTTAAAACCAATCCTTGTTTAGGATATAAAAGCACTTCTTCCCGAACTAGATAACAAATACAAAATAACAGCTATCATTGATACAAAATATTTGAATTCTAATATAGTATAGGATGTTAGTACTAGGACTTCCTGATTGTGGTCGATTGGATCATGTAGCAAACCGTGAAGAGCGAGAAAAGGGGCATACGCTGTTTGACTGATGAAATGACTCCACAAGATTTGGATTTCGCCAATGATGATTTATATCTAATGTCGCACAAAATCGAAGATGTACAGGCGAAAACTAACAAGTTGATAGAAGAGGCAGGGCAGCAAAAACGGGACTTCCAGTGAATGTAGAGAAGATGGACGTGATGAAGATATCACCCAACCAACAACAGCATGAACAACAAGAGGCACCAATCAATCACCATGAACTGGAGAAATATGAAGGAAGTAGTCTCTTCCACCTATCTATCTACCTGCTAGACAGCACCGTTTCAGCTACAGGTAGCGGGAGAGATGAGGATGTCAAAACCAGGATCGGAAAGACAGCAAGACAAGCGTTCATTAGTCTGAAACCAGTGTGGAGATCTACTGCACTCCATCAGCATAAAGCGGGAAAACGATCCGGATCCCCAGCACTAATTCAGTGAAGTCAGTGCTCCTATGTGATTGCTGAGGTACTTGGTGCGTCAGGAAATCCACTTGCAACAAACTACAGACACACATCATCAACAGCTGCCTACACTGGCTCGATAGTAAAGATCAGATGAGAAGGTGAGAAAGAATGAGCAACAAGGAACTCTGGTCTGGCAACGAACTAACGAAGCAAGAAGCCATCACCCAACAGATATGTAGAAGAATGTGGAGATGGATTTGGCATTCACTGAGAAGGTGGATTGGGGACATCATGCTTCAGGCTAGGCTATCGAGTGGAATCCAAATGGGAAACGATGAGTTGGGCATTCGAAGTGAGGTTGACATGTAGGAGATGATGTGAGGAAGAAATGAAGGTTGTTTGTAGTGGTGGAGGCAGGTATTGAAGACTGGAGAGAAGAGAGTGGGATGGAGATGTGCTACTGAAGCCATGTGTTGGACTAGGAACCCAAGAGAATGATAATCATACTAAGCACTATGACTTCAATTCTTGTGCACTAAGTCATCTTTACTAAAAGGTAAAAGATATTTCTAGATGGCTTACAGTATTGGTGATAATTCTGGTGAACTGAAAGATGTAGACTGGATTGTTCTATCAATTACTAGTAGAAGTTTGAGGCGAATACTGCTAGGCCTTTTTAATAAAGTGTGATGTTTGTGCTAGCCAATACTGTAGATCTGTTCCTTTGTTTTTCCTTGTAAATGTTGGAAGTTATTATTTTGTGAAATTCTCTTCAAGGGGTTCAAATGCGCTTCAATTACTTAATTATACACCCATACGGTTTAAGATACTGTTGTTGAAAAATTTTAATTCAACTTTACAAGGAGAAACCTTTGGTAAAATATCCTTTATTTGTTACCAAGTGAATGAGCAGATAATGACTGAGTAGATCGTAATAAATACGCGAAACGTGATACTTGAACTGGACATAAAATACAACTATTCTCCCTCAAACCTGATACTTCACTAAACCACGAAAATCAGGAGATGAAAATCTTCCTGTGAATGTAAGTAAGACGATTTTATTCACAAAAATAAACTATAATTTACATACCGTTCTCCTTCAGACAATGAAGCTACTAAGTTAGAAGTTGGGTCAGCTGAAGGTTTTTCCGCCCATCCGAAACCAAGATTGCAATCTAAACTTCTACTTCAAGTTGTTACTCATCGAAGACTGACATCAGTTGGAGGAACAAAGGAAACTTGGGAGCACTGGACAGCCGTTTCGTCCTAGTATGGGACTCCTCGGCAGTGCGCACCCACGACCCCACCACCGGGGATCGAACCCGCGACCTTCAGGTTCCGCGGCCAGCGCGTTACCATTGAGCCACTGGGTTCGATCCCCGGTGGTGGGGTCGTGGGTGCGCACTGCCGAGGAGTCCCATACTAGGACGAAACGGCTGTCCAGTGCTCCAAGGTTTCCTCTGTTCCTCCAACTGATGTCAGTCTTCGATGAATAACAACTTGAAATATTTCCAAATCTCCACAACTCCCTCAAAATTTAATAAAACTTCTACATTGGTAGCTGATCACCTTGTGTACTGATTTCGATTTAGGCTGCTTCCTGCTATGTTAGTTTTCTTAAGCGTAGTTATTTCAATAAGAACATTATCACTCAGTAGGGCACAAGTAAATCGGACGAAATGTGCGTTGTAGATTCTACCACTAGACACCACCAAGCAAATGAAAACGTAATTACTGAAACAGTGTTGTTTCCGGTTACTATACTACTGTAAAATGACAAAATTAGGCTCTTTTTGACTTATTCTCGTTTTTGTCCCACACTGACTTAGCCTTTGTCACATAAGCTAGTCTTCATTGTATACTACTTAATCGTTTCCAACATTATTCTGTTCAGACTGTTTTAAAAGCTTATGATACACAACACAAATACTAAACAACAGTCATTGTATACACTAGTTAGTAATACCTTTCATTGCTTTTTAAGCCTACAGATTATTTTCGAAAAGGTAAAAAGGGTGAGAAAGGTGAAATTATTCAAAGTAGAATACGTTCTCATCATAATCGACAATTTCAAAGATATAAACGAGATCAATGTCAATATGGCTGTCGACTTTATCAATTTGAATCCAAAAACAAGCATGTTAAACGGTCATCATCAACTCTGAAAGGCGAATCGAAACATGCCTCCGATTTATTACATAATGGATCAACCAATATTGATTTCGACAAACAGAAAATTTTAGGAGTAAGTCAAGTAAATGTATTCGAAGATAAAAAAAAAGGAAATCACTTACTTCTTGACGGTAACTTTTGATGACTCCTAGTGTTCTCTTTATTAGCACATATATTACTATTATTATTTGTCCCATGAGTTCCAAGTGGAACATTGGGTTTCAGTAGCACGTCACCATTTCACTCTCTTCTCTCCAGTCTTCTCAACCTGGATCCACTACTGCCCACAAGCTTTCATTTCTACTCACCCAATCTCATCCATATCACACTCCGACGCCAAACTCTTCGTTTCCCCCTTGGGTCTGAGTCAAGAACATGGCCTAATGCATGATGTTGCCAACTGGTCTCCTCAATCTACATTCAATCCATCCCCACTCTCTTCTTCTGCATATTTGTTGTGAGATAGCTTTTTGCTTCGCTGGTTGGTTCGTTGTCAGGCCAAACTTTCTCCTCGCTTATTCTTCTTCGCCTTCTCATTTCATCTTCAGTATGGCGTGTACGTAGGCGGAGACCGTTAATGTATGCCTCAAGTTTATTGGAATGAAATGATTTTCGTAACTCGACAAATTTCTACATCATGTAGAAACACTGAATTGACTGACAGTGGTGAGAATCACCATCTCGTTCTTCATGCTAAGTGCAGTGCAGATCACTTCAGTTTAGTGCAGTGCAGTTGATCTCCACAGTCATATCCACAGATTAATCAACGCCTGTCTCCCTGTCTCTCCAATCCTCGCTTCCACAGCCACACCCACATCCACATCCTCATCCTCATCTGTGCCTGTCCCACCACCTCCAGTTGAAACCATGCTGCCCAGATAGGTGGGTAAGTGAAACAGACTACTTCCTCAACATTTATCACCCCTCTCCCCCCCTCCCGCGTTCATCCTCATTCCTACTTCTCCTTCTTGTTGGTTGGGTGGTATCTTCATCACCTCTGTATGTATTCTCCACCTTCACATGAAGGAAGTCCCATCTGCCTTCGTCGCCCTACATCTTCTCTTCTACCAACTTGTTCGCTTCACCTGTACATCTTCCAGTTTGTGCAACATGAGGCATTAGACATTGGACATAAATCATCATTGGTGAAATGTAGAGCTTCTAGAGTCTTTTCATCGGTCAAACAGTGTATGCTCATCTTCCCACAGCTGCTCACAGTTTCTTTCATGATCCACTCGAGTCGATTCGAGTCGAGTCGAGTCCAGTGTAGTCCATTCCATTCCAGCCAGTCCAGTCCAGTCCAGTTGACTACAATTGGGAAGATCATTGGTGATAGTAGGTTGCAAGCTTGTCTTACCTATCAACCTGTCTTCACTTTCAAGGCATTACTGAGCTTCCCATTATCAATCACTTCGCATTTAGCTTCATATAGCATATAGCTGCTGTTTAATGAGGTTGATAAATCTTTGTGGTACTTCGTAGTATTTAAGCAGCTGCCAAATCACTTTTCGGTCGACTCTGTCAAAGGTCTTTTCAATGTGGATGAAGTTGAGTTAGGGAGTTGATTGTCATTCTATGCTCTGTTCTATGATGATACATAGCGTAGTGTTGGAATTTGTTCTTCATATGATTTGTTCTTCCTGAAGCCAGTCAGCCTATTCTAGTTGTAATTTTTAATTATTCCATCTCAATTTTAAAGTGCTGATTTCTGTAAAACATGATCTTAATCAATATATGTCAGAGTTCATTAATCCACAATTTTTTACTTCTACCATTTCGCGATATGGGGCTACTATCATCGAAGGCCTAGAGTATTCGACCGCTTCACTTCCAACTGGTTGACTCCACAGGTAGCGGTTTCTTATGAGAACTTCGCGATACCGCAAAGTACTTTACCATATAATGCTCATTAGTGACACGCTTCAGATGGATATCCAGAAGAAATTGTGTCTTGTGGAGTTAACCATTCGGAGGTGAAGCCGATGCCTACTCTCGATCATCGATGATAGTAGACTTATGTTGCAAAGTGACAGAAGTAGGAGTTTGTTGAATATTGAACTCCTACCCTATGGCTCCCTGGTTAACACATCAGAAGGTACTGAGTTTGAGCTAGGTCATGGGTAGTAATTTTCAGTAGTCCCATACTAGAACGTAACACCTATGCAATGTTTCCAGGTTTTCAGAAGTTTTCTCCAGCTGATGTAAGTCTGCGATAAATACTACCTCAAAATTAAAATCTCCATTAACCTCAAAATTCATTTTTGTCAAAATGACGCATTTGTGGTACTTTGTTAAGTGAAAACTATCATGAATATGGCGCATAAAAAAGTGATGGCCGCACTTCCACGAGCAGATTCACTTCATCAGAAAAGTCATTCCGAGTTACCTAGCTCTTCGTAAGTTAAGCTGTTTGTCATGAAACCTCAGGTTTCTGGATCTGATCGATAGATAAGTGGTGAATAAACTCTGTTAAGTCAGGGGAACACTAGAAACCTGGACAGCTTTGTTGTCCTAGTGTGGGACTCTTAAGCAGTACGTATCCACGGCCCCGAAAGGGATCGAACGCGCGATCTTCGGGTTCCGTGGACAGTATGTTACCATTGAGCTAGCCACTGGGTCGGAATCCAGTGGTTCATATTCCAACTTCTGTTAATTCACGACATAGCGCGACCGCCACCCAATGTCATCGTTGAGCATTTGTCCTGAAGGCCATCAGGTTTGCCCCAATGGCCATGACTTCTCACTGGAACTTCGGAAATCACCTCTTGAAGCTAGTAACCAATGAGGACTAGTTCAATTGAATTAGGAGAGTTTGTTGGGATTTAAAGTTTTTTTCAAGTCTGTATTCATCAACTACTGACATCAGTCAGAGGAACATCGGAAACCTGAGAGCACTGGCCATGAGGATAAATACTCAATGATGACATTGCGTGGCAGTTGCACTGTATTGTGAGCTAAAAGGAGTTGGAAATATGGAGCATTGGATTGTAACCTAACAGTAACGCGCTGGCCGCGGAACCTGAAGGTCGTGGGTTCGACCCCTGGTGGTACGGAGTCGTGGGTGCGCACTGCTGAGGAGTCCCATACTAGTTGGATGGAACAGCCAGCCGTCCAGTGCTCCAGGATTCCTTTGTTCCTCCAACTGATGTCAGTCTACGGATGAATAACAACTTGAAATGATATTAGCCTATCAAGTTTGTTGAAAATTCTTTTATGAATCATTTGTACTTTTTTTTATATGTATTATTTGTTGGTACTAGTAATTCTCTGTTGATAAACTGGATCGAATTGATCGACCTTTGTTAACATTATGGGCTAGTCTGGGGAAGCCACTATATTATTGAATGTGAATGCTGTAATTTACTTGATTGTGGCTAACAGCTAGGGGCTCACAGTCCAAGTCTCAATGCGAACAGCTTCACTCACTGAGGTGCAGATACATCCAGCTGATGAGTTCCAAATAGAAAGAAATGTGCATCCTAGACTTCACTGTTAGTCACCACTAAACTAGATATAAAAAGAAGCTGACAAAAATTTCTGATTAATTTTTACTGAAAAAGGTTAAAATAATCCATAATATCAATGAACTGAAAACTATTGGTTCAATTCTACCAGTTGGTGCATTGGTTATCAGTGAGATATCAAATTATCATTCACAATCTATTTGGGGGAAAGAATATTATTCTTATCAGTTTAGGTCAAAGATGAATTATCAGATGAATCAAATGAATTCACTTGGTTTGTTTATGAAAACTGAAAATATTAGTAACATATGGATAGAAATGCCTGTGGTGAGTTTAACAAGTTTTAATTATGAGATATATTCATTAAAGCTTAATGGCCACATTGCAAAATGATTGGTAGAATTCGTTCAGCACTCCAGACTAGACAGTCTGAAATTGGTTAACCTCCAGGTACTAATCAGTGTATCTAATCCATTCCTGCAGAAGGCTAATCGACTCCCGAATAGCTTAGTGGAAATATCACTGACTACAACAATGAGGGACAAGAGTTTGAATTTCAAGTGGGATTTGGATTTCTTGGAGGTTTCAGATAGAGTAAACACTGAGAGTGTTATAGGCAGTAAATTTTGTCGAAGACATCATCTAGTAAATGATGTTCTATTCACGTTTGTTCAGTCAAATAAATAAATCTAACACTAGGTGATGATTGAAGGTGAAATGAAAATTTAAACCGCCGGCGGATTCGAACCAGCGACTACCGGGTTTTCGGCCTGATGGTCGCCCATAATGCTGAAAACCCCATAGTGTCGTACATATTGTTTGGAATAAAGCGATTATCATCATTATCATTATTGTTATCAGTGAGGTAAGTGTTCATGATGTCGTCTAACAAGACGATGAAAGCTTCTTCGCAATGAAACAACACAGCTTAGAGAACATAATGCTACCAAGACCGTCCACCTGAGCTACAAATATTCTCCACTGTTATTGGAAGTTTTATAAACCTCCTATTTTGTTTATTCACTCTAGTTTTCAACTTTCAAACAACTATCATGCATACTGTTGGTCTCTCACATTTTTCTATGTAACTCTAATAAAAAAAATCATTTATAAAAGGGTGTAAATAGTAATTTTACTCTCAAAATTTTATTTTTTATATACTCTGTATCTGTCTCAGTATTCTTAGGATTAATGACCTACAAACAGAAGAGGATGAACAAATGATTAGTTTCGATATAACTAGTCTGTAATACTAAAATATCAATCAGTATGGGATTGGAGGCAGTCAGATGTCAGTTAAATATCCACTCAGAACTTAATCACAGAAATAAGATATCGGTTGATGACAGCATATTAAGTGTACGGTTGTGCCAGACCCCACAGACTTCAACATTCATAACATAGTATCCAGACAAACAGAATGAGTAACAATGGGATCATCAATATCCTCAATCACAGAAGATTCATTTGTAAATAGTTCAGAAAACATGGTTTGACAGTCGTTTAATCTGGCATCTAAGATTTGGTGACGATATGTGGATGACACATTCACTACTGTGTTGACAATACGAACATATCGACACTTCCCTCACACACAATAACCTCAGTAGCAGGTGGAATCCAATTCACTTACAACGAAGTAGAAAATGAACAGTGAAAATTACCCACTTCGGACTCCAGAAAAAATAAAGGGCAGGAAGCCAACATATTCCAACAGGTGTCTAGACTTGAAGTCACCTCATCCAATATCAGTCAGTTAATGAAGGTTTAGTCAAATGTCTAGATGATACAGCTAGCAAGCTGACAGTAGTCAGAGGAAGAACCAAAACAAGGGAGTGAAGCACATAACGAAGTGTAATAATTAATAGTTATCCTCTACAGTTTATTAAAGAATGAGTAAGAACAGGAAAGAGAGGAAATAATAACAGTGACACGAGTAGAAATAATGACGACAAGGCAAGTGGAAAGGAGTTGACAGCCTACATTGTGTTACCGTAAAAGGAGGTTACATCAGAAACTTTACTTAGGATCCTCAATAAAGCAGGAGTTATAGTGGGATATGAAAGGATGAAGTCAGTCAGAGATAAGCTTGGTCGGCTAGCTTAAGATTTGATAGAACCAGTTAATCAAAATAACCTGATCTATGCAATTCCATGTTATGATTTTGAGGTCGCGTACATAGGTGAAACTACCTGGTCGGGGTCTGTTCGATTAGCGAAATAGAATGGCAGACCCTAATGTGATCAGTAATCTAGAAAGTAACTCGGCTATTACAATGCATGAATCAACCGACAACCACACAAAAGGGTAGGTGGGATAAAAGCACTGTACTTAAGTCCAATATAATCATGTAGAGACAGAGAGATTGATTACTGAACCTCGGTTCATCGAATCAACACCCACACAACACATATGGAATAGGAATGATGACGCAACACCCATCTGTACCAGAGATATGAAGGATTTTACTAGGAATAATAAAGAATATGAGGTGGATGACAAGACTATATGAATCAAATGTTGAAAGTAGTGTGATTACACATTGAAATGATTATGAGGAGTAGTGAGTTATGCTCGAGATATCGTCAATTTGTAAACAGATGATACTGTATCACTGTGTCTGGTGTATATCAAACAAACAAATCTAATATGGAATTTAATTCTATCACAATGCCCAAGTTTTACACTAATATTTTAAGGTTTAACTTTTACGTTCATTCTCATTGGGAAAAGCTGGAAATTCAGATTTTTATCTCAATGAGTAGGTTTCCTATAAATTGTTAGTTTGATAACCTGCCTGTTGTATATTTCCTATGAAAGACGAAATCAGACTAGATGAACTGTTCAGTAGTTAAATGATCAAATTTATATTCTCATACATTTAGATCCCTTCATAAATTGGGATAAAACAAGAAGGTTGAGATTTTGTAGCGTAACATAATATTATCCAATATCCAATATTGATAGTGCGAGCGTAGAAAACTGGTAGCTTTGATCTCTCGCGTCTAGTTCTTAGGGCTTGGTTCGAGTTGTTCGGTTCACTCCTGCAGTGGATGAGGAAATCCCCTCTGCTTTCTTGCTTTTAGCTTCGGTGAGGTGGGTATTTTGTGGGTTAGTAACTTGTAATTTGTAGAGTGATTAGGGAGCTACGGGTTGCCGGGACGTTTAGAGAACTGCTGTGACTCCTGTCTGTGTAGGTACCTGAAAGAGAATAGTAAGGTGGTGGTATAGGAATGAAGGAGAATAAAAAAAGAGGAAGAGAAATAATAATATGGGGAAGAGAAAAGGGAAGGAGAAGAAAATGAGGGGTGAAAAGAGAAATGAGAACGAAAGAAAAGTATTTGGGAATTGCGCGAATGGTCGCTTGGGTTTGGTTCCTACAGAAGAATTAGTAGGTAATGTGGGTGTATTAAGGAGAGAGATAGTAAGTGGTAGTTAGGAGGGAGTTGGGGGGTACTGAGGTTGGTGACTACCTGAGTACGTCCATGGTAGTCCATGCGAAGTGACATAACTGTCTAATCGCCTCTTGAATGAGTCGACTGAGGGAGCTATAACGATGTGTCGCGGTAAGGCATTCCATAAAGCACATACTCCCGGGGAGAAAAATTTGGACCTGAGTATGGTTCTCTGGTGTGCTATCTTAATGGGGTTTCCTCGTGAAGATCGTTGAGTTGCTGACAAAATTGATTCGTTTGCATGGTCTGCCTGATGGGCGATCTTGTATGCCATAATAAGGTCACCCCTCTCTCTGAGATAACCCAAGGTAAATAGGTTTAGGTGTTTAAGTCTTTCAGGATACGTCTTTCCCTCCAGCCCCACAACTGATTTTGTTGCAGTTCTTTGTATTCTTTCAAGGAGATTAGGTCTCTCTTGAATGTTGGAGGAGCCACCGTATTGAAGACCTCTAGATGCGGCCGCACGTAGGATTTGAAAATGGTGAGGAAGAGTTCGGGAGTGGGGGCGCCAAGCTGTCTACGCAGAAAGTGTAGAATGGCTTTCGCTCTGGTTGTCATACCTTTGTAGTTGGAGCTGGTGTCCAAGGTGTCGGAGAAGTTGAGCCCCAAATCTTTCTCCATGGACACTGCTGATAGCACGGTTGCTTTTTTATTTTCATTTTATAAACGCTCTTCAGCTGCATGTATACAGTCAAAATGTACAATGGTTATTCAGATATAAGAAATTATTCATGAAAAGAGAATTACTAATTGTACAGGAAAAAATAATTACTAGAGGTGTAAAACTTGGGCATTATGGTAGAATTTAATTTATATTAGATTTGTTTATCTAATATACACCAGACACAGTGATACAGTATCACCTATTTACTACATCATGACATCTCGAACATAACTCATTACTATGTTTAGTAATGATGGGCAGTAGCTAGCAGTGGAATCCAGGATGCGCATTTCGTCCTATTTGGGAATCGTCAGCTGGATGTACCTGCTTCCCAGTGAGTGATGTTGTTCCCACCGGGACTCGGACTCGGGAGCGGTCGCTTCAAAGGCCATCGCGTTATCCACTACACTACCGAGCCATGATAGCCACTTCTTGTGCTGAAGAGTCCCAAATAGGACTAAATGCGCATCCTGGATTCCACTGCTAGCCACTGCCCATCATTACTAAACATAGTTAAAAGACAGGCAATATCGAGGCATCCACACAGGAGCCCATACGCCAACAGAGACTGATCAATTCATCCAATCAATGACGGTGTAATACAACCAATAATACTAAAACTATGCCTGTCGCACAAGAATCGGTCGCAGTGGCTTGATGGTGTAGTGGTGAACGCTTCGGTGTATGTAAGCTATGGGTGCGAGTTCAAATACCGGTGGGAACAACTTTACTTAGTGGGAGGCACGTACAACCAGGTGACTGCTGAGTCCCAAACAGGATGAAATCCGCATCCTGGGTTCCACTGCTAGCCGCTACCCGCCGATATTAATTCAAGCATTGTTGAGGATCCTACGTTAAGTTTCTGATGTTCTTTCCTAATAGGGTAACACAATGTAGGCTGTGAACTCCTTTCTACTTGTTTTCTCATTATTATTTCTACTCGTGTTACTGTTATGTTTATTCTTTACTGTGATAAATAAATAAAGAGTTATGTAATGGAAATGAAAATGAAACAAGATCAAATCATAGCCACTAAAAGTGTAAGAGCTTAACCAGGCTCATCTATATACAGAGGTCAGGTTGAAAGCATTTTGTTGCAATCGCTCCCGCGAAATACAAAAATCCAGACATTTTCTATATATGAATTATTTTAAAAGTACACAAAATCTTAATCTGATATTGTGTGTCTACGAGATGCCTGACAATTGCAATGCTTGTGCTTGATGTCATTGTATGTCCTATGAAAGCGAAGAATTAAAAGCAACATATTATGAATCTTGGGTAAATTACACATTCCAAGTTGTTGTTCATCGTAGATTGACATCAGTTAGAGGAACAAAGGAAACTTGAGAGCACTGGACAGCCGTTTCGTTTAGGTATGACACGGCTCAGTGGCTCAATGGTAATGTGCTGGCCACGGAACCTGTAGGTCACAGGTTCAATCCCTGACGGGGTCGTGGGTGTGCATTGCTGAGGAGTCCCATACTAGTTGGACGAAACAGCCAGCTGTCCAGTGCTCCAAGGATTCCTTTGTTCCTCCAACTGATTTCAGTCTAGGGATGAATAACAACTTGAAATATTTCCAAATCCCAATAACTTCCTTAAAATTAAATTACACATTCACCTATTAATTTGTAAAGATTGAGGTTCTCATATAACTGCATATCTTAACATTTCTTAATTGAAAAACAATATATATTCAATTGATTCCAGTGATCTGACTATTTTTTTCTCATACTCTTAGAAATTTGGACATGAAGTGACATTTGGCATTCCAAAAGTGAGTAACAACTTCTAGATATCTTAATCTTGAGTTTATTTATCGGATTTAATAAAAATTTCTGCATTTCTCTAATCGACTAAACTATTGATAATTGACAATCGAAAATTTTATCAAGACTAAATGAAACATTGAATCCAGAGTTTTTAATATCAATGGGTTTATCATGTTTTGTTTTAATATGAAGATTATTTTTATTAGATAAGTGATTAATCATTGGTTTCTGACACAATGAAACCAGAATACTCTTCATATACATCACTCTGAAGTTGTTACGAATGTCTGATCCCTAAGAAATTACTATATAATATATGTAGAAGTAGTATTCATCATAGACTGACATCAGTTGGAGGAACAAAGGAATCCTGGGAGCACTGGACAGCTGGCTCATCCGTCTAACTAGTATGCGACTCCTCAGCAGTACGCACCCACGACACGATGAGGGATGGAACTCAGGACTTTCAGGTTTCGTGGCGAACGCGTTAGCCATCCAGCCAGTGGTTCACAATTTCCAACTTCTGTCAATTCACGATGATACAGTGTGACTATCACCCCGATGGGGAGCGACGAGTTAGGCGTCCGAGGGTGACATGGAGGAGACCATGAGAGGAAGAAATGAGAGCTTCTGGGCTGTCGTGGAGCTAGGTTCTAAAGATTTCAGAGAACAGAGCGCACTAAAGACGTGTTACTGAAGCCCTATGTTCCATTAGGAACCCAAGGGACAAATAATAATAATAATATAATAATCACTTCCGACTGGTTGACCCTACATTCATCTCAAAAATGCATTACTATCTAGTGCTCATTAGTGACGAGCTTTCAGATGGATATTACGAAGTTCTAATGAAAAGCCGTGATCTGTGGGGTCAACCAGTCGGAAGTGAAGTGGATGCTAACTGAAGACCTTGGGTGATAGTCGCGCTATATCATTGTGAATTGACAGAAGTTGGAAATTGTGAACCACTGGAAACCGACCCACTGGCTGAATGGTTAACGCGTTCGCCGTGAAACCTGAAAGTCCTGAGTTCCATCCCTCATCGTGTCGTGGGTGCGTACTGCTGAGGAGTCGCATACTAGTTAGACGGATGAGCCAGCTGTCCAGTGCTCCCAGGATTCCTTTGTTCCTCCAACTGATGTCAGTCTATGATGAATACTACTTCTAATATTAAAAATCCCCATTCATCTCAAAGATACATTTTAACATATTTTTTCATTATCAAATTTAAATCTTATTTTCGCGCCTTTTTCTCCCTATGCAATCCTGCCTCTTTTTATCTTGATTTAATATGCTAAACATTGACTGGTCCATTTTACATCTTAAGTATGCTATTTCGTTCTGCTTGGTCAATGCCTCTCAAAAAAGTATGTAAAAGACCGAACTTTTAGCTACGATCGCGCTTTCCAATTGAAGTAAATGCACCTTTAATCCTATGATCTTCTTCTTTTGGTGTCAGTTGAGTTTCATGTTGCTCAGTCATTATTCTATAGTCAATTTCATTGCGTTGGAGCGTTATATCATCTATACATAAAAACAGCAGAAAAAAAGAATTAAAGCAAGATATTCATAAGCTCTCCCTGATTTCTAGCAGCTGATTGGTTGTTTTCATTCTGTAATGGAACTTTTCTTTAACTACCAACTGTTTCTATGGGTTGTAATGACGGATTATGGGTATCAGTAAAATTCACGGAGCACTTTTCATTCTATCTGAGACTCGTCGGTTAGACCTACCTACTCGTGTTTATGAATGATGATGGGAACTAGTGTTGAAGTGTCAAGTAGTGCTTTCATCAATACAAAAGTTGTATGGAATACAGAAGTAACTAATTCACCTGGTGAATATAACAACTAGTTCTATGATTTGTACTAGTTCTGTATTTCAGTGTTCATTTCACAGATAAACAGCTCAGCAGTACGCACCCACAATCCGGCTAGAAATCAAACTGCGAACCTCTATGTTTCACAGAGAATGCGTTAACCAATCAGCTACTGAGTTGAATCTCAATGGTCCACAGTTTCTTACTTCTATCAGATCGTGATATACGGTGCCTATCATCTAAGGTCTTCAGTGGGCATCCACTTCACTTCCGACTGGTTGACCCTACATGTCACGGCTTCTCATTAGAACTCGGGGATATCAATTTCAAAGCATGTCACTAATGAGCACTATACGGTAATGTATTTCGAGGTAAGTGAGGATTTTATGCCTTCAGTAGCATTCATCATGAACTGACACCACCTAGAGAACCATTAAAAGTCTAGAAGCACTAGACAGCTCTTTCTTTCTAGTATGGGACTGCACAGCAGTACGCATCCACGATCCGGGTAGAGACTGAATTCAGGACCTCCATGTTTCCTGATGGACGAATTGACCTCTGTACAAGTTGCTTGGTGTTTAAGGGTTCATAGTGTCTAAATGTTATCAATTTGCCATAAACTTCAAACTTCCTAAAAATATTTATCTTTTCTTCTTAAAAAGTCAAGTTTGTATGAATGATATAAGATTTAGTTGACTGTTATACTCGTTAATTTTTTGTACATAGCCCAGTGAAGAAATATACGAATCTTTTCTTTCGAAAACACCATCATTATTTGATACTTCAAGATATGAAGAAAAAGTAAGTTAATCATATTCTGTCAAACTTATTATTATTATTATTCGTCCCTTGAATTCTTAACGGTACATAGGGCTTCAGTAGTACACCTCCATTTCACTCCCTTCTCTCCAGTCTTTTCGGCCTGGCGCCATAACTGCCTGCCCATAACCTTTCATTTCTTTCTCACACCATCTCCTCCATGTCACCCTCGGACACCTAACTCATTGTTCCCCATTTCGTTTCCACTTGATGGCTTGGTCTAGCACGTGATTTCTTCAAATGGTCTTCTCAAGGTGTATGTCCAATCCATCTCCATTTTCTTCTGCTGCATATTTGTAGGGTGATAGGTTGTTGGTTGGTTCATTTACAGGCCACAGTTTCTCCTTACTTATTCGTTCTGCCTACCTGGTCTTCAGTATCGTGATTAAGCGACAGCTGCTGATGAATGCCTATAGTTTGTTCAAAATGATTTTCGTGACGCCCAAAGTGTCTCAACCATATAGAAGCACTGACATAACATTGGTGTTGAAAATCCACATCTTGTTGTTTTTGCTGAGTGCAGTGCAGTGCAGTTCAGTAGATCTCCACACTGACCTCTACAGATGAATGAAGACCTGTCTCATAATCTTTCCGATCCTCGCTTTCACGTCCTCATCTGCACCGCCTGTAGTTGGAATGATGCTGCCTAGGTAGGTGAAAGAGACTACTTACTTGAGGTTTTAACTGTAGATGGTGATTGGTGCTTGTTGTTGGTTAGGTATCTTCATCACCTTTTTCTCCTCCACGTTCACCTGAAAAAAGTCCCCTCTTTGCTGCCCTGCCTCTTCTGTCAACTTGTTGGTTTCTACCTGTACATCTTCGAGTTTCTCCGACATTAGACATAAATCATCATTGGCGAAATTCAAATCTTCTAGGTTCTTTCATCGGTCAAACAGCGTCTGCCCATCTTCTCGCTCCTCATAGTTTCTTGCATGATCCAGTTCAGTCCACCACAATCAGGAAGATCATCGGTGGTAGTATGCAACCTTGTCTTACTCCTGTCTTCACTTCAGAGGCATCACTCAGCTTTCCATCATGAATCACTGGGTGTGTGGCGTCCTCATATAGCTGCTGGATGAGGTTGGTAGATGTTTGTGGCACTAAATTCGTAGTGTTGAGGCAGCTTTCAAGTTAATTCTCAGTCGACGCCTTGATCGAAGGTCTTTTTAAAGTCGATGAAGTTGAGTAAGGGAGTTGACTGTCATTCTATGTTCTGTTCTATGATGATGAGTGCCGTAGCGTTGCTATTTGATCGGCACACAATTTGCTCTTCTTGAAGCCAGCCAGCCAGCCTGCTCCGGTGGTAATTTTGAATCCAGCAGCATGATTTCTCGCCGGTTCTTGAAAAGACTTGCATCTCACTTCTCTGGCAGTTTCATAAGGTAGCCCTCCTTCCGATCGGCAGGCACCTTTCCTTCCTTCCTTCTAAACCTTGAGCAATAGTGGTGTGACCAAGTCCACTGTTGTCTCTGCGTCTGTTTTCAGTGCTTCTGTAGGAATTCCACCTGGTCCTCCTGCTTTCCTGTATCTCAGCAACTTTATGGTGTGGTGGTCAGGACTTCGGCTTTCTTTGGAGGTCTTCTGTCCACTGGTAGTTCTGCGGTTGCTGGTGGCGGTCGATTCAAAAGTTTTCTGAAGTGGTCAGCCCAACATCGTTTCCGCTGTCTCTCCTCTTTCGTAATTAGCTTTACTTTACTATCTCTCATTGCTTTCATCTGCGTTGATCTCTTCCCTCACACATAGTAACCTGGTTATTTGATATGGTGTCGTCAGGTCTCTCCCACCTACAGCCTCTTCTGCTTCACTTGCCAGTGTGTCGTAAAAGTATCTTTTCTCCTTCCGTACACTCTCCTTCACTTCCTTGTCCAGTGTAGTGTTTTATAGGTTGTATTCAGTTCCTCCTTTCGTCGTTTATCACTGCACTGCACTGCACTCCACTGCTTTGGTTCATCTTCTGCTTCACCATCACCACCACTATCACCATCTTCCTCTCCCTTCTCTATCAGCTCCCATGTGTTTGTCAAGATCCATTCCATGTCTCGCTTCTTCTTCTTTCTTCTTAACGCGTTGTGGATGTTTCCTTCCACGTCTCTTCCAAACAGTTTCAGTGTTTATCTATGCAGGTTTCCTCAGGGATGTTGCCTAATGTCTCACATTTTGTTCTGATGACTGACTGATGTGAAGGTGTCCTTTGTTGTTTCGTCCTTCAGTTCAGTTCAGTTGAGTTTCTGTTCTGGGTGGTCAACTTGAACTATGGCCTATCACCAACTTCTTTGAAGGCTTCCAACTTGATTTTGAAGGTAGATTCCTTGCATTAGATAGTGAGTTGTGTGAACATATATCTGCTCCTCTTCTTGATCTTCTGTTTAGTAGGCTGCGTCTGCACTTTCTTCAGATTGAAATGAAATCGATCTGACGTTTGGTGTTTCCATCTGGCGAAATCAACTTCATGTCACTTTGTGAATATCCTTGTGTTTGTACACACTGCCTCCAATCACCAAATCATTGAATGAGCAGAAATCTCCAAACAGTTCTACGTTCTCATTCATTTCATCAAGTGCCTCTCCAACCATCATCAGTTCTCTTCCCGTTATAATTTTGATGTCGCAAACTGAGGTCTTGTCCAGTGTTGATTGCAGTTGTCTGTAGAATTCCTCCTTCTTCTCTTGATCTGCGTTATTTGTAGGTGCGTAGAATAGAATTGAATGATTGTAACTTTCTTCCCTTTGAGTTGAACCTTGTTGTCATGATCCTGGAGGAGGAGATTGGTTCCCACTACATGACAACCTTCGATGCTGTTGAAGGGGACACCATGATAGCCACTCCAAAACTCAGTGTGCTCGTGGTTGTCGTCTGGGTGCAAATATCAGTTGACAGTTAGGAGAGTCCATTTCCATTCCATCTACTTTCGCAGATTCCTAGCACTTTATGTTATATCTTCTTATTTGTTTGGCAGTGTGGGCAGCCTTACCAGCCAGCCAGCTTCAAACATGGTGCGGACATTCCATGTCCTCATGTTTACTTTCACTTTCATCTAGCGAGAGAAGACACGTCAGCCAATTGTCTTCGCGAAGTCTTTCACTAAACAGCATCATTTTGTTACCTCGATTCCAGCAAGGAATAAGTTTATTTTTATTTTTTATATTTTGTTTGTACTTTGAAGTTTCTTTGGCAATTGGATTGGTTTTACGGTGTAGGGTTGTTAGCCCTATACCCGATCTTCTTTCTATGTTCGGGCTTGAGATCGGCTAGTGGACTAGTTAACTAGCCGAGGTTTTGTCAAACTAAAGTTGACGTCAATGAAACTGAAGGAAAGTGAAGTCAAATCGTTAAGGACTTAATTAGCCTCACACAATATTCTATTAAGCAATTAAGTTTTTCGAGTTATTCGGAATGAGACATTAATGTGTTAAGGCTGTTAGTACAGAACTTGGTATTTCGCCTTGACAATTCTACAAAAGGTTGACACATGACAGCAGGTTTAAAGCAAAAGCAGGATTACTCAGAATTTTGGATAAAGTCCAGTTTTATTGATTGGTCACGGGGACGCAACCAATTTCATGTTGTCTAGCTTAGTGGCCATATTTCAAATATGAACGATAAGACTCATCTGTACTCAGGACTAGACAACATGAAATTGATTGCACTCCCGTGACCAATCAATACATGTTAGCCAGTCATACAGGAGGTAAATCGCAACCCGAACAGCTCAGTGATAAAGTCGCTGACTACAACGCTGGGTGACGCGGGTTCGAATCTCAGGCAAGACATTAGTTCCATCGAGGTTGTAGATACGCCTTGGTAACGAGTGCTAACAAGCACGAAACCTACGTCAGTCACAGCTTCCTGTCGATCACCTCCAACCAACTGACAAAGTCCAGTTCAATTTTGTTGCTCACAGAGCCTTCAGAAGGGAAAGTCGAATCGCCTAGTCTCTACACTGACCAACTAATGAATTCCTTCCAGTTTTATGATTGATATATTTTGAATAGAACAACTTAATGGTAACAAGTCAATTATATTTAAACATAGTTTGACTAGCGTATGGTCCTTATTCATGTATGCTTGTTAAAGCGTAATAAATGTCTCTGATTCACTATATTTAAAATCTGAAACTTGGAAAACACTGCAAACTCTAAACTAATATGACTATTTTTTGATACACTTGTTATTCTCCGTTGTTTTTATTGGATCAAATTGTTCGACCTCTATTGGCATAGTGGATAACGCCTTGGCCTTTGACGTGATGGATACGTGGTTCGAGTCTCGATGGAAATAGCATCACTCCTCACTGCGGTGCAAGTACGTCCAGCTGACCAGTGAGTCTCAAATAGGACGAAACGTCCGTCAAGCTGGATTCCTCTGGTAGCCATAACCGACTAAATCTAAGCCAACAGTTTACAGTATGATTTCAAGTATAACTCGGTTATTTACAACGTAATCAGAAACTGTGATCCTTTCGATGCATTTATTCTACAATCGTAAAAGTAAATCAATAGGTTTCATTATGATCATCATTTCACTTCAGATATTATTCGCCTTTCATCCTATACCTGCAACTGGAGGATCATTATCTGGTTGGAATGCAGCTGATAAGAATTGTCATGAAACTGCTATATATCGTCTTGGAATTCCTGGATTTAAAGCATTTCTTGTAGACAAAAATTTCTCAGTAGAACGTCTTATAAAATGGCAATATCAACATATCCCTATTATAAATTTAGATGTAAGTTATTTAGTAATTCTTCTGCAACCTATACATTATTCTGTACACTTCTAAATAATGAAGAAATCATGAAAACTCACTGATTCCTAATTTATACAAATCTATATTAGCCCTTTAAATTAATTAACAGCAGGTAATAATCAGCAGTTGCCACTCTCTTACCGAACTTCTGGCAAACTGTCTGAAGTTATAATGAAGTATCTTAGCTTAGTAGACCAGCTAAAGGTTTTGTGGTTAAAGTTATAAGCGGCAGATTAGAGAAGTTACGTGAAAATGAAAAAAAAACTAGAGATCCCAGATTTAATCTAGAGACAGAGTATTCTCCGATTTCACCAAGGCAAACTCAAGTAGAGATTAACTACTTAAGAAAAGAATAGGATGAAAAAATATGTTTAAATTCAGACAACTTATGAGGTTTACAGCATCTCTCTCAACATTATAATCACGCACTGAATGTCACAGAATCTGTATGACTTGATCCATACTGCAACATCATGTTTGAAATGCACTTGATATTAAGGCTTGTTTATTAGTTCCACTAAGTTTATTGATCTCTGTTGGCATCTGAGATTCTCTACAGATGTCTCGATAGAGTCTGTGATTTCATTTTCATATTAAGGATGGATAGTGGTGTGCAGCGGGATCAAAGACCCTGATTTCATCCTATTCAGGTCTTATCAGCTGTTTTTGCCCACATCCTGGCGAGTGATGGTGTACTATCGACAATCGACCAAGCAATTGAATCAAAAGTGACCAATAATGGTAAATAAATAGTCCATTATTCATTGCGAAAACACTAGATTTCGTTATTCAAAGGATAATATTCCAGCATTTGAAGTGTAAGGTACTGCGTTCGTGCTTCAGTAGCGACTAAAACACTCTCTGAAACCGAAATACACTCAGCTGGTGAATCCTAAATAAGACAAAACACAATCCCTGGATTCCACTATTCATTCTTACTGCTTAATATTCAGCTTTTGTAGAGAGTGAAACTTCTAATTCAGACTGCATCTAACTTGATAAGGCATGAATATCATCCCAGACATTTTTTAATGTATGTTAACACAGTGAAAAATATTTTGGATACATTTTTTGTCACGATTACAAAGTGCATATTGTGGATACACCTTCATAGTAGTGTATCTATCTTTTAGTTGACGTTTATTACCTGATACACTTTTCCCCCTAATTTATTTAGGGTGGAAAAAAGAAATTGGAAATGAAAAATGATTGGGCTGATTCCTCTGTTTAAAAGTCAATGTGTTTGTGTGGACAAGGTAGTTTCCTATTGAACTAGGACACTTACTCGTAGGTATCTGATTAGTTCAGGTTAGATAAGCTATCTGTATTGAGATTGGCTTATTTGGCTTACTTATCCCATGAATTCTGTTTTAAGAAATTAATCACCTTCAGGTTAAGATTAAATCCAAAATGAATTTAAAATTTGTGTAGACTTTAATTCTGTAGTGATAATGTTATTCAATATTTCAAGGAACCTGTTTTAAAATGTATTGAGTGTAGTTTTTGTTATGATAATTGTAATTTCCAGTTGCTATACAGGGTTGAATTACACAATCTCTGTCGGTAGATGGGCTCTTATGTGGGTGCCTTGATACTGCTGTTTATTCATGATATGACATTCATTTCAGTGACTAGTGGAAGAGTCCAAAACTCGCGTTTCGTCCTATATAGGACTCGGCCTAGTGGATGCTGCCTTGACGTTTGAAGCGAAGGGTACTGGGTTTGACCCACAGTAAGAACAACATCACTCACTAGGGTGTAGGTAGATCCAACTAACGAGTCCAGATTATGATGAAACACGCGTCCTGGATTCTTCTGGTAGTCGCCAAGACCACCATGTATTGAGTGTAATGTATAACTGTAAATGAGGTTTCCATAAAAACATAAATCATAAATGTATTAGTGAAAGGTTTGCACATAATGATAAGTTCTTATTTTGGTAGTAATTTTCAGTTGCATTGCCTTCCTGCCAGGGGTTATCCCGACACGCAAGACACTAGGAACAAAAGCTTCCTGTGTGTGAATTCTATGAGCAGAATATATGGAATGTAGTGTGACAACGGCATGCTATCCCTGTACCAGCATGTGGAATAGAGGTTGGTGTATCCTCTATAGACATAATCGTCCTCTTCGTTTACAGCTACATAGTTCATCTCAGAGTTTTCAGTGACCGACTCTATAGCTCTCGTTTGATCTTTTAATACTGGCATCTAGGTTAACGTTCAAGTTATTTCCTGGATGAGTTATGGTTATAATAGGTGACTGAGAAATTATTTCAAATGGAATTATTATTCGTCTTCTGCCTTCTGCCATGGTGATCGTAGTCACAGCTGCAGCCGTTACTTCCATTTCTTCTCCGGAATCATCTCATAAAATGTGTGCTGCAGGATGTTCTGAACTTGAGTCAACCAGCATGATAGTCCTGCCATCTACAATTTTTTGTATATGCTTATTACAACACTTTGAAACGGTATCTTCACTCACCATGGAAATAAAGCATCTCTCCCTTAGTTTACTGTGTTTTAACAGTATTTTTCAATTTCATGCAAATAATCATGTGTGATGTTTCCTCATCCATTTTAATTCGACAACAAGTGACACAGGAAGTGAGGGGAAAAAGGTAGAAAATAACACTTAAAGAAATCTCAAGTTGTTATTCATCCCTAGACTGACATCAGTTGGAGGAACAAAGGAATCCTGAGAGCACTGGACAGCTGGCTGTTACGTCCAACTAGTATGGGACTCCTCAGCAGTGCGCACACACGACCCCGCACCACCAGGGGTCGAGCCCACGACCCCCAGGTTCCGTGGCCAACGCGTTACCATTGAGCCACTGGGTCAGAATCCAATGCTCCTTGTTTCCAACTCCTGTTAGCTCACGATATAGTGCAACCACCACCCAATGTCATCGTTGAGTATCTGTCCTCACGACCATCAGGCTTTGACTCCACCGATCACGACTTGTCATTGGAACTTCGGGAATACTTCTCGAAGCTAGTCACCAATGAGCACCAGTTCAATTGAATTTTGAGGGAGTTGTGGAGATTTGGAAATATTTCAAGTTGTTATTCATCGTATTCATCTTCCAACTGATGTCAGTCTACGATGAATAACAACTTGAAATATTCCAAAATCTCCACAACTCCTTCAAAATTCACTTTAAAAAAATTATTATTCGTGGACCAAATGTATTTCCTGTCTTTCAGTCTTATCAGCCACTACTTGGTACTATGGTTCACAGAAGTGTTGTGTTCTTGTATTAGGAATTAGAGATACTCTTACAAAAATTATGTAGGATACAAGCGGAATAGATTAGTGAATAAGAAAGATACAGATCTAACAAATCTCCCAGGCTTTGGTTTCAAAATCACTTATCTCAGCATTTCATAGATGTCAGTCTACCATACTATGACCTTTATATATGATGTCACCGACAATAACAGAGTAATCCAGTGATACGATTAAGGATAATCACCGAAATCGGAATTTTGAAATGTTCTCCAAGTTTATTCTCAGAAGAAATTACAATTATCCAGATAATAGTAATGATGGATAGTACCCAGCAGTTGAATCCAAGATGGGTATTTCGTCCTATTTGGGACTCACCAGTCAGCTGGCTGTACCTATTTCTCAGTGAGTCATGTTGTTCCCACCAGAGCGTTATCCAATACACCACTGAGCCACGACAGCCACTTCTTGTGCGACGGGTATAGTTTTAATGTTATTGCTTGTATTATACCATCGTTGATTGGACCGAATTGATCGGTCTCCGTTGGCATATGGTCTCCGGTGAGGATGCTTCGATATTGCCTGTTTTCTAATTGTAGTAATGATGGATAGTGGCTAGCAGTGGAATCCAGGGAGCGTATTTTGTCCAATCAACTACGGTATAATGCAAAAACAATTATACTAATCCATGTAATAGTTAATGCGACTGCAAGCGAAGAATTAGAGAGCAAAATATGATTTAATCAACATTCTATTGATTTCAGGTTGGCATTCAACCTCAAAAATGAAAAAAAGTATGCACAAATAAGTCTTAATCCAGAGTGTTAGTTGGTTGTAGGCAATCGGTAGGAAGCCATGCTTAATGTAGGTTTCATTCTTGTTGGTACTCGTTGGCAAGGCGTATCTGCAACCTCGATGGGACTGATGTGTCACCTAAGATTCGAACCAGCGTCACCTAGTATTGTAGTCAGCGATTTTTGAATCTCAGGCAAACCACCAGTTCCATCGAGGTTGAAGATGCGCCTTGCTGACGAGCACCAACAAGCACAAAACCTACGTCCACAGCTTCCTACCGATTGCCTCCAACCAATTAATATCTACTAGGGTACGCCGCGATGCGGACCATCCTAGCTTAGTGAGCACATTGCAAATATGATTTATAAGATTCGGTCTGCACTCAAGACTAGACAACATGAAAATGGTTGCACTCCTGTGACCTATCAATGTAATCCCAGCGTGTTTAGAAAATCACAACAAGAGTTTTTTTAACGTTTCACTTTAAACTTTACAACTTCAGTAGAATATAAGGATATTTATTCAATCTCAAAGCATATACTGTCTAATTGTACGTATAGCAATTCCTCTTTATGCGCCATCGGTTAGCTGATTGGTTAATCAAACTGATGGTTATTTCATTGCAAAATTCATTCAGTCTTTGTCATTTGTTATCAAAAACAATTCAGTACTCAGAGTGTCTGTATGTCTGTCAGTCCTCGGTGAAAACCGAATTATTAAAGCATCCGGACAACGGTACGGGTGTGGTCATACTATACATTATTATTGTTATTATTATTGGTCTAACATACGGCTTCACTAGGACGTCTCCATTCCACTATCCTCTCTCCAGTCTTCTCAACCCGACTTCACCACTGCCCACAAGCTTTCATTACTTCCTCACATCATCTCCTCCATGTCACACTCATCTGGGATGCCCAACTTGTCGTTTACCTTTGTGTTCCAATCTACAGCCT